CCTGCTGATGTCAAGAAAAGATTCCTATTTTCTCAGTTGCACTACTTATCTGACCTATGAGTCATACATCTTCATTTCATAGTGTACAAAATATTTTAAGCACCACTTTATACAATTATTATTTCTTAGCAGGGTTTTTCCTTAAAAAATAGCAGTCAGCAGGTAGTGGAGAAGCAAATTCTAAAATAAAGTTCTCGTTCCTGCTGCTAGGGCTGCTCAGGGAGAAGGACCCGGATCTGACATCTGAGCCTCAGCTGGACATCCGAGTTGAGGTCTGAGTTTGCTGGGACTTTCCTGCTCCTCATGCGTATGTGTCCCCTCACTGTTGCCTGCTGGCAGGTGGGTACAATCCTCTGCTTAGTCCAAAGTCCCTGCCTATGTAGTGCTAAGTCAAACATGGCTTTGCAGAGAGATAGAGGGTGTTTCCTGGAGGATCGGGCAGCTGAAAATGCCCATTCCCAGACCCACGCACTGCCACATCCCACCTACATGACCTTAGGAGGATCTCTCGCAGGACCACATCCCCACTGACACCCTCAAAGGGGCAATGGTGTTTGCAGACTGACGGAGCCAGGGTACCCATCAGCGAGGACACCAGCATCCCAAGCCAGATGTTTCACAGCTGTGTCAATATGGGCAGGTCAGAAAGCTTTAAGCCAAACTGGACCTCAGATTTGAAGAGAAGCGAAACTCATCCTGCATGGGCCAAATTCTACTCTCAGTTACAGAGAGATAAACCACAAAACAAATTGCAGCTGTGTGACTGAGGGCAAAACCCTCTTTCATGCCTTTAGCCAACATTAATTTTACATGTGTTTGGATTACAAGATAAACTCATGTGTTTTATTATCGATCTGCATTGATGCTCTAAAGCAACAAGTTTCAGGAAAAATATTTCTGTATATTTGTAAATGCACAAGTGAGACCTACTAGGTCTGGCTTTTCCAAGCTCCCAATTTTGTGCACTGATGACACAGAAATATAGTCCCTAGGGAAGACATGTAACAAATTATTAACCCTTAGATGAACAAATTTCAAATACACAAACTAGTCCTACTACTAGGATATGACCTTGACCTTTGCTCAAAATGTAAACAAAACTTATTAAAAATATTTTTCAAGGATTCAAAACATTTTGGAAAAGGCTTTTGCACAGTCCATCTACACATGCTCTGAGCCTGCGGATACTACTGAGCCCACATGGAGTCTTGTCAGCAGAAGGTCTGAGGTGAGAAAGCTTCATTTCTGCATCCCTCTGATGAGGAAAGGTGGCAGAGGCTGTTTCAGGTCTCGCACTTATTCCAGGAAAACTAATGAGTGCTGTAGGTTATATCAGCATTAATGATCTCACAGGCATCATTTCACTACCCAGACACTGTCAGAGCTCATGGGCTTTGTTCTACTGCATGAGAAAGAAAAGAAAAGCAGTTTTATACTGCCTGGCAATAGCCCTGCCATAAGCTTTGTTGGAGCAGATTTCCTAGGCTGCCTAAGTAACTCCCACGCAGTGCCGGAGTCTAGCTCACTATAGGGCAGTTTAAGCAAAAAACCATCCACATTATGCCATAAGAAAAAATAATCAACATTTCAGACCTAGCTTTTCATTGGTTATTTAAAGTCTACTTTGTTTAAATGTGTAAGCATTCATACAATCCTCTTTCTTTCAGAAAAAGTCAGGCATGTATTTAGATCCCACAGAGTTCAACAAAGTAAAAACAATTGATTTGATAATTAAGCATGAGCTCAACTAAATCAGGGCTTTTACACCTGTAAAAGTAATTGGAGAACACTGCTGAAC